CCTTCTTTGAACCATGTGGAGTGGCGATATAAAATCACAAAGAACTAGACCAGATTATAAAAGAAACACATTTGTGGACTATAAACAACAACTAAAATCAATATCATATGTAAGTCGAAGAGAAAATAATGACATAATAAAGATATAAACTTTTCACATTACTTCAAACAAAAAGGTTAAGGAGGAAATACCTATCAGTAATGGGGAACGTGATAGCAGTTACTGGACTTGAGAAACCTATTTTCCCAAAAAATGGTTTTGATACAAAAATTTTATAATTTTTTATCCAACACTAGTATTGGCTGCTCGGTAAATGAATAGTGAGTGTTTTAACTATCAGGAACTGGCTAATATTGTCATTATGATAAGAGGAATAAAATCCTTGAACATAGACTCAAAACGTTTGTATCGAGCTTCAGAAACTTGAATATAATCCATCATGATATGTGAGGATTTGGATTTAACTAAATTATATTCAAGTTTCTGAAACTCGATGCAAACGTTTTGAGTGTATGTTCAAGGATTTTATTCCTCTAATCATAATGACAATATTAGCCAGTTCCTGACAGGTAAAAACACTTGGCATTCATTTACCGAACAGCCAGTACTAGTGTTGGATGAAATTTACCAATCTTTCTATTAAAACCATTTTTCTGGAAAATAGGTTTCTCAAGTCCAGTAACTGTTATTACGCTTTCCATTAGTGATCGGAGTTTCCTCCTTAACCTTTTTGTTTGAAGTAATATGGAAGGTTACCATATTTATTATGCCATTATTGTCTCTCCAACTTACACATATTTGTTACAGTTCATTATGCTTCTTTATTGCCAATACACAAAGTTCAAAGAAGGAAGATCTTTGCCAAGACCCTCATGCTTCACTCGCTCAAAGCCATTTTTAACTATTGATCTTAGAAAGTTGTTGCATACCTGTTGGGGCGCACCTACCTTCTGACTAAGAATGGACTGATCCCTCTACGATATAGGACAGTGCTAGAGAGACCAGAGATAGAGATCTGGAGATCAGGTGACCATTACACGTCCGTCTCTCTACCGGAAGTTACCGTTGGACTTTAGACTCTTGCTGATTGTTATTACTAACCTGCGTTCGTTATTATTAATCACTCTGTTGTTAAATACCTCTTCAAATATACCAGTATTTTTCCCTACATCTGTGTTTGTGTTTATTTGAATGCACACACGCGGGAACACTCCCAACATCTCAACAATACCGCTGTCAGTTTAGATATTTCTGAATGAGTTTTCTGTCATGCATGACATCCACATGAATGTCTTGATCTGATGAGCCTATTTTAAGTACAGGTTGATATTTTGGTTTTACAGCAATTTGTGGCGTTAGCCAAAAATACTTCGAGCGTAGTCTATTCTATATTTAATTTAATTTTTACCGACACTAAATTTATTATGACTGATATATCCTCACCAAAACCTCATCGTTGCTCACACGCTCGGTCCATGATGTCCTTAGAAATTAAACATGAAAAAAAAAAATAAGAGATGATACCACTTACAGAATAGACCAACCGGCTCATCAGGGTCGACTGGGAACAATTTACTAATTATTGCAATATATATTGACTCACACAAACACCCTACATACAATTAAAACATTAAAAAAATGAAATGATTAATGGTATGAGGGAAATAAAAAAAAATTTTTTAAAAAAATTCAAATTCAAATTCAAAAATAAAGAGGTAGTTTCACCCAATAATGTAAATTGTTACGAAACCCAAACATCAATCTGAAAACTCAACTTATGCTCTTAAATATCTTTGTCAGATCAAGACTTTCATGTGGATGTCATGCATAGCACCAAACTTATTCAGAAGCATCTAAAATGCCATCTGTATACAAACGCTTTCTCAGATCAATTGTTAAAAACAGCTTTTAGTGAGTAAAACGTTAGAGTCTTGCCAAGAATCATCATGCTTTTCGTACTGAAGCTACAGTCCTACATGCAAGCCACCAATCTGCCACTGGGCGGCATGACACTAGCGTTTACTTCTGGTGGCCCGCTGTCGGACCGTCGGCGTGTTGGTCTCGGTAATGTTACCACCGATGGACCACAAGAGGCCCACTGGTGGCCCTGGCGTGTAGGAAGAATCACAAAGAAAGAAGTCTACAAAATAACAAACCTGAAAACTCGAGTCATAGCTTAAATAGCCACGTCAGATCATCACTCCCATATGGATGTCTTGGAGCCATACCTGTTCAGAAATATTTGTGATTTGAGGACTTTTAACAGCAGCAACAACTAAGATGGAGAGGATATCTAACCGGCATAATCAAGATGTGACATTCTACACTACTTCAAATCAAAGGTTAGTTAAGAAGCACACATCAGTACTGGAAAGAGCCATAATAGCTAGTGGACTTGAAAAAATATTTACTTGTCAAATTATTTTAAGAGAATTTTTTTGAAATTTTAACGGAAAGTAGTACTGGCTTCTCGGTCAATAAATACTAAACGTTTCCTTATGAGGAAACGGCTAATATTTCCTATTAATGCGACTTAAACGTAGCAGACTAGACCGGAACTTGAATACCGCACACCGGTTTCATTTCTGTACCTGATAGCCGTTATGTTGCTCACGCATCCGAAAGAAGCGAATATTAAGAAGAAAACATTGGAGAATTACAAATTCCAGATCGATTAAAAGTAAATATCTCACCTTTTTTTTTCGTGCAAACTGTCGTTTATTTCAATGTTTTCGCGAAATACGCCAAATAACAATGTTTATTCGCTATTTTATTCGTCTTTCATTCTGCTATAGAGTCGTGTATCCGGCTTCGGATTCATTTCTTGCTGTCCGCCAAAGTGTCAATTTGTTTAAGCCAGCTTTTAAGTATTTGGACAGTCCTGGTATCCAATCATCATTCTGTGTACCCAACCTGCCTTGCCAGTGAATGTAACACTCAAGGGCGATCGTTTCATCTAGACTTCGGTGATATTATACTGCAAAGAAAGATAATAAACATGGCCGCCATCGATGGTTTAGCTGATACGTCTCATAATAGTAGCCTCGATTTCATTTACAAGTCCGGCGACGATGCAAAGAAGCCATTTCTACGAAATAGTACAATGCCAATAATTATAATGCCATTAGCGATTATAATTGAAAATATCCGCTACAGAAACGCGGACTTTGGGAAATTAAATATTTCATGCTGATAGAAATCCAAGTATTGTTGATTAGAAATCTTTAACTCTGTCAGTATAATAGCATCGTAGATTATCTGTATAAATTTCTGGCATGAGGAGTATTTTTTAATCAGTTCCCCGCAAGCAAGACGATAATGCCACTTTCACTCTCAGTACTCCATGCTGAGAGTGAAAGAGAATGAAAAAACTTTAGAAGGAACCGGAAACCCAGTCATAAACAGGAAACAAGGAATAGACCGCTACTCCTGTTCAAAAGATCGTGGAGGATTGTGAACCGAACATTAGGCAAACCTATCTACTACAATTGAGGTGGAAAATTCGTAAATAAAATTTCAAAGTTAACACGGAGATATTAGAAGTACCATAGAGTATAGCGATTGAAGGAAGTAGAAACCCAATCCTAAACAGGAAACAACGGATAAACCTCTACTCCTGTTCAAAAGAATACATTGTTTACACTCGGAATAGTTTTAGCAGTTATTATCACAGCGTTACAGACGGTGAGCCATTCGGCCTTCTTCAGATGTCTTTCAATCTGGATAGCCTTCAGGGGTATCTTGTTCTGTTGTACATGACTGGGGATGCCTCACTTTCTTTTTTTATTAGTACTGCTTAGTTATTGGTCTTTTAGCATACTGACGAATACTTTACTCGATACGAGGTTTTAAAACATTCAAGCCATAACAAGTGCCTAGTTTAGGTCGGTTGATTTTAAGTTAACCCTTGTTAAATTATTTAAGACTCTCATTTAGATTGAACACCTAGTTAAGATCGAACTCACTGCTCAGCAATCGAGCCTAGGATGTCAACCACGTTAAGATGTGAAGATAATCCAGTGATGATTTAAGCGTATTATCTCCAGGTACTCATGCCTGTGGATGGAAAAATTAGAAGTATCAAAACGGTGTCAAAATGGAAACCACTGCACTATCTCCCTCGAGAATGGATAGCAAATCACCGATCATAAAGAAATCTAATTACCAATTGAAGATACCGAAATAAAACAAGTACAACAATTTAAATAATTTGAAAGTTTTTCAACAGAGAACACAAAAATCCGAAGACGTATTGAGATATCAAAAATGGCTTTCAGAAGCTAAGCAAAGTATTAAGAAATAGGAAAATATAGTTAGAAATCAAGAAAAGTGTTCTGAACTGTTATGCAATATCAGTCCTACTATATGGTAGTGAATGCTGTAAAATCATCTCACAGATGAAGAAGAGACTTGAAGGAAGAGAAATATCGTTCTACAGAAGGATGCTGAGAATACCGCGCACTGAACATGTGAGGAACATTGGCGGTTTACAGAAAATGGAAACAAAAAGAACATATGTTGAATAATAGTTTCAGACTATCCATTTTTCAGTGGCAGCGTATTTGGCTCAACCGTGTGAGGCTGAACTTAAGGTCAGATGGTAGACAAAATATGATGTGGATTTTGATTGGCTGAGCCGAACGTGGGAATGTTAGAGATAGAAAGTGATTTCAAGGAGTTAAGATTTTACACGTCATACACAACAGACGTGGTTATTTCGTGTCTCGGGGAACTTGCTTCCCACTAGGGGCGAGAGAGCGACCCCACTGTCTAGTTAAAGCTATATATGTCGATGTGTATAATAAAATATATAAGTTTAAAAATCCCTTTCGTTGAAGTTCTCATTTTATCTTTGAACAGAACAACAAGCTAGATCACCCGACCGAGAGAAGAAAGAAAAGAGAGAAAAGAAAGAGAGGAATACAACTTTATTGTGATCGCCTCAAGCCCCTACCAACAAAAAAGAGTATACAACATTTTGCATATTTAGCGCAGTGGGCATGACCCTCCCAGAAGAGAAAGAATATACAACATTTTGCATATTTAGCGCAGTGGGCAAGACCCTCACAGAAAAAAACGAATATACAACATTTTGCATATTTATCGCAGTGGGCAAGACCCTCCCAGAAGAGAAAGAATATACAACATTTTGCATATTTAGCGCAGTGGGCAAGACCCTCCCAGAAGAGAAAGAATTTACAACATTTTGCATATTTATCGCAGTGGGCAAGACCCTCCCAAGAAGAAAAAGAATATACAACATTTTGCATATTTATCGCAGTGGGCAAGACCCTCCCAGAAGAGAAAAAATATACAACATTTTGCATATTTATCGCAGTGGGCATGACCCCCCAGAAGAAAAGAATATACAACATTTTGCATATTTAGCGCATTGGGCAAGACCCTCCCAGAAGAGAAAAGAATTTACAACATTTTGCATATTTAGCGCAGTGGGCAAGACCCTCCCAGAAGAGAAAGAATATACAACATTTTGCATATTTAGCGCAGTGGGCAAGACCCTCCCAGAAGAGAAAGAATTTACAACATTTTGCATATTTATCGCAGTGGGCAAGACCCTCCCAGAAGAGAAAGAATATACAACATTTTGCATATTTAGCGCAGTGGGCATGACCCTCCCAGAAGAGAAAGAATATACAACATTTTGCATATTTATCGCTGTGGGCAAGACCCTCCCAGAAGAGAAAGAATATACAACATTTTGCATATTTAGCGCAGTGGGCAAGACCCTCACAGAAGAGAAAGAATTTACAACATTTTGCATATTTAGCGCAGTGGGCAAGACCCTCCCAGAAGAGAAAGAATATACAACATTTTGCATATTTAGCGCAGTGGGCAAGACCCTCCCAGAAGAGAAAGAATATACAATATTTTGCATATTTATCGCAGTGGGCAAGACCCTCCCAGAAGAGAAAGAATATACAACATTTTGCATATTTATCGCAGTGGGCAAGACCCTCCCAGAAGAGAAAGAATATACAACATTTTGCATATTTATCGCAGTGGGCAAGACCCTCCCAGAAGAGAAAGAATATACAACATTTTGCATATCTAGCGCAGTGGGCAAGACCTTCCCAGAAGAGAAAGAATATACAATATTTTGCATATATATCGCAGTGGGCAAGACCCTCCCAGAAGAGAAAGAATATACAACATTTTGCATATTTAGCGCAGTGGCCAAGACCCTCCCAGAAGAGAAAGAATATACAACATTTTGCATATTTAGCGCAGTGGGCAAGACCCTCCCAGAAGAGAAAGAATATACAACATTTTGCATATTTATCGCAGTGGGCAAGACCCTCCCAGAAGAGAAAAGAATATAAAACATTTTGCATATTTATCGCAGTGGGCAAGACCCTCCCAGAAGAGAAATAATATACAACATTTTGCATATTTATCGCAGTGGGCAAGAACCTCCCAGAAGAGAAAGAATATACAATATTTTGCATATTTATCGCAGTGGGTAAGACCCTCCCAGAAGAGAAAGAATATACATTTTGCATATTTATCGCAGTGGGCAAGACCCTCCCAGAAAAGAAAGAATATACAACATTTTGCATATTTATCGCAGTGGGCAAGACCCTCCCAGAAGAGAAAGAATATACAATATTTTGCTTATTTAGCGCAGTGGGCAAGACCCTCCCAGAAGAGAAAGAATATACAATATTTTGCATATTTATCGCAGTGGGCAAGACCCTCCCAGAAGAGAAAGAATATACAACATTTTGCATATTTAGCGCAGTGGGCATGACCCTCCCAGAAGAGAAAGAATATACAATATTTTGCTTATTTAGCGCAGTGGGCAAGACCCTCCCAGAAGAGAAAGAATATACAACATTTTGCATATTTAGCGCAGTGGGCAAGAACCTCCCAGAAGAGAAAGAATATACAATATTTTGCATATTTAGCGCAGTGGGCATGACCCTCCCAGAAGAGAAAGAATATACAACATTTTGCATATTTATCGCAGTGGGCAAGACCCTCCCAGAAGAGAAAGAATATACAACATTTTGCATATTTAGCGCAGTGGGCATGACCCTCCCAGAAGAGAAAGAATATACAACATTTTGCTTATTTAGCGCAGTGGGCAAGACCCTCCCAGAAGAGAAAGAATATACAACATTTTGCTTATTTGGCGCAGTGGGCAAGACCCTCCCAGAAGAGAAAGAATATACAACATTTTGCATATTTAGCGCAGTGGGCAAGACCCTCACAGAAAAGAACGAATATACAACATTTTGCATATTTATCGCAGTGGGCATGACCCTCCCAGAAGAGAAAGAATATACAACATTTTGCATATTTAGCGCAGTGGGCAAGACCCTCCCAGAAGAGAAAGAATTTACAACATTTTGCATATTTAGCGCAGTGGGCAAGACCCTCCCAGAAGAGAAAGAATATACAACATTTTGCATATTTAACGCAGTGGGCAAGACCCTCCCAGAAGAGAAAGAATTTACAACATTTTGCATATTTATCGCAGTGGGCAAGACCCTCCCAGAAGAGAAAGAATATACAACATTTTGCATATTTAGCGCAGTGGGCATGACCCTCCCAGAAGAGAAAGAATATACAATATTTTGCTTATTTAGCGCAGTGGGCAAGACCCTCCCAGAAGAGAATGAATATACAACATTTTGCTTATTTGGCGCAGTGGGCATGACCCTCCCAGAAGAGAAAGAATATACAACATTTTGCATATTTAGCGCAGTGGGCAAGACCCTCCCAGAAGAGAAAGAATATACAACATTTTGCATATTTAGCGCAGTGGGCATGACCCTCCCAGAAGAGAAATAATATACAATATTTTGGATATTTAGCGCAGTGGGTAAGACCCTCTGAAAAGAACGAATATACAACATTTTGCATATTTATCGCAGTGGGCAAGACCAAGATCTCCCAGAAGAAAAAGAATATACAACATTTTGCTTATTTAGCGCAGTGGGCATGACCCTCCCAGAAGAAAAAGAATATACAATATTTTGCTTATTTAGCGCAGTGGGCAAGACCCTCCCAGAAGAGAAAGAATATACAACATTTTGCTTATTTGGCGCAGTGGGCAAGACCCTCCCAGAAGAGAAAAAGAATATACAACATTTTGCATTTTTAGCGCAGTGGGCAAGACCCTCACAGAAAAGAACGAATATACAACATTTTGCATATTTATCGCAGTGGGCAAGACCCTCCCAGAAGAGAAAGAATATACAACATTTTGCATATTTAGCGCAGTGGGCATGACCCTCCCAGAAAAGAAAGAATATACAATATTTTGCATATTTAGCGCAGGGGGCATGACCCTCCCAGAAGAGAAAGAATATACAACATTTTGCATATTTAGCGCAGTGGGCAAGACCCTCCCAGAAGAGAAAGAATATACAACATTTTGCATATTTATCGCAGTGGGCAAGACCCTCCCAGAAGAGAAAGAATATACAACATTTTGTTTATTTTGTGCAGTGGGCATGACCCTCCCAGAAGAGAAAGAATATACAACATTTTGCATATTTATCGCAGTGGGCAAGACCCTCCCAGAAGAAAAGAATATACAACATTTTGCATATTTAGCGCAGTGGGCATGACCCTCCCAGAAGAGAAAGAATATACAATATTTTGCTTATTTAGCGCAGTGGGCAAGACCCTCCCAGAAGAGAAAGAATATACAATATACAACATTTTGCATATTTTAGCGCAGTGGGCATGACCCTCCCAGAAGAGAAAGAATATACAACATTTTGCTTATTTAGCGCAGTGGGCAAGACCCTCCCAGAAGAAAAATATACAACATTTTGCATATTTAGCGCAGTGGGCATGACCCTCACAGAAGAGAAAGAATATACAACATTTTGCATATTTAGCGCAGTGGGCAAGACCCTCCCAGAAGAAAAAGAATATACAACATTTTGCATATTTATCGCAGTGGGCAAGACCCTCCCAGAAGAGAAAGAATATACAACATTTTGTTTATTTTGCGCAGTGGGCATGACCCTCCCAGAAGAGAAAGAATATACAACATTTTGCATATTTAGCGCAGTGGGCATGATCCTCCCAGAAGAGAAAGAATATACAATATTTTGCTTATTTAGCGCAGTGGGCAAGACCCTCCCAGAAGAGAAAGAATATACAACATTTTGCTTATTTGGCGCAGTGGGCATGACCCTCCCAGAAGAGAAAGAATATACAAAATTTTGCATATTTATCGCAGTGGGCAAGACCCTCCCAGAAGAGAAAGAATATACAACATTTTGCATATTTAGCGCAGTGGGCATGACCCTCCCAGAAGAGAAAGAATATACAACATTTTGCATATTTAGCGCAGTGGGCATGACCCTCCCAGAAGAGAAAAAAATATACAATATTTTGCATATTTAGCGCAGTGGGCATGACCCTCCCAGAAGAGAAAGAATATACAACATTTTGCATATTTATCGCAGTGGGCAAGACCCTCCCAGAAGAGAAAAGAATACAACCCTCCCAGAAGAGAAAGAATATACAACATTTTGCATATTTATTTATACAACATTTTGCATATTTAGCGCAGTGGGCATGACCCTCCCAGAAGAGAAAGAATATACAACATTTTGCATATTTATCGCAGTGGGCAAGACCCTCCCAGAAGAGAAAGAATATACATTTTGCATATTTAGCGCAGTGGTCAAGACCCTCACAGAAAAGAACGAATATACAACATTTTGCATATTTATCGCAGTGGGCAAGACCCTCCCAGAAGAGAAAGAATATACAACATTTTGCATATTTATCGCAGTGGGCAAGACCCTCCCAGAAGACAAAGAATATACAACATTTTGCATATTTAGCGCAGTGGGCATGACCCACAATATACAGAAGAGAAAAAGAATATACAACATTTTGCATACTTATCGCAGTGGGCAAGACCCTCCCAGAAGAGAAAGAATATACAAATATTGCATATTTTGCTTATTTAGCGCAGTGGGGGCAAGACCCTCCCAGAAGAGAAAAGAATATACAATATTTTGCTTATTTAGCGCAGTGGGCAAGACCCTCCCAGAAGAGAAAGAATATACAATATATTGCTTATTTATCGCAGTGGGCAAGACCCTCCCAGAAGAGAAAGAATATACAACATTTTGCTTATTTGGCGCAGTGGGCAAGACCCTCCCAGAAGAGAAAGAATATACAACATTTTGCATATTTATCGCAGTGGGCAAGACCCGCCCAGAAGAGAAGGAATATAAAACATTTTGCTTATTGAGCACAGTGGGCAAGGCCCTCCCAGAAGAGAAAGAATATACAACATTTTGCATATTTATCGCAGTGGGCAAGACCCTCCCAGAAGAGAAAGAATATACAACATTTTGCTTATTTAGCGCAGTGGGCAAGACCCTCCAAGAAGAGAAAGAATATACAACATTTTGCATATTTATCGCAGTGGGCAAGACCCTCCCAGTAGAGAAAGAATATACAACATTTTGCATATTTAGCGCAGTGGGCATGACCCTCCCTGAAGAGAAAGAATATACAACATTTTGCATATTTAGCGCAGTGGGCATGACCCTCCCAGAAGAGACAGAATATACAATATTTTGCTTATTTAGCGCAGTGGGCAAGACCCTCCCAGAAGAGAAAGAATATACAACATTTTGCTTATTTGGCGCAGTGGGCATGACCCCCAGAAGAGAAAGAATATACAACATTTTTAGAAGAGAAGAGAAAGAATATACAACATTTTGCATATTTATCGCAGTGGGCAAGACCCTCCCAGAAGAGAAAGAAGAATATACAACATTTTAAATATTTAGCGCAGTGGGCATGACCCTCCCAGAAGAGAAAGAATATACAATATTTTGCATATTTAACGCAGTGGGCATGACCCTCCCAGAAGAGAAAGAATATACAATATTTTGCTTATTTAGCGCAGTGGGCATGACCCTCCCAGAAGAGAAAGAATATACAACATTTTGCATATTTATCGCAGTGGGCAAGACCCTCCCAGAAGAGAAAGAATATACAACATTTTGCATATTTAGCGCAGTGGGCAAGACCCTCACAGAAAAGAACGAATATACAACATTTTGCATATTTATCGCAGTGGGCAAGACCCTCCCAGAAGAGAAAGAATATACAACATTTTGCATATTTAGCGCAGTGGGCATGACCCTCCCAGAAGAGAAAAAGAATATACAACATTTTGCATATTTATCGCAGTGGGCAAGACCAACTCCCAGAAGAGAAAGAATATACAACATTTTGCATATTTAGCGCAGTGGGCAAGACCCTCACAGAAAAGAACGAATATACAACATTTTGGATATTTATCGCAGTGGGCAAGACCCTCCCAGAAGAGAAAGAATATACAACATTTTGCATATTTATCGCAGTGGGCAAGACCCTCCCAGAAGACAAAGAATATACAACATTTTGCATATTTAGCGCAGTGGGCATGACCCTAACAGAAGCGAAAGAATATACAACATTTTGCATATTATCGCAGTGGTCAAGACCCTCCCAGAAGAGAAAGAATATACAATATTTTGCTTATTTAGCGCAGTGGGCAAGACCCTCCCAGAAGAGAAAGAATATACAATATTTTGCTTATTTAGAGCAGTGGGCAAGACCCTCCCAGAAGAGAAAGAATATACAACATTTCGCTTATTTGGCGCAGTGGGTAAGGCCCTCCCAGAAGAGAAAGAATATACAACATTTTGCATATTTATCGCAGTGGGCAAGACCCTCCCAGAAGAGAAAGAATATACAACATTTTGCATATTTAGCGCAGTGGGCATGACCCTCCAGAAGAGAAAGAATATACAACATTTTGCATATTTAGCGCAGTGGGCAAGACCCTCCCAGAAGAGAAGAAAAGAATATACAACATTTTGCATATTTACCCTCCCAGAAGAGAAGTGGGCAAGACCCTCCCAGAAGAGAAAGAATATACAACATTTTGCATATTTAGCGCAGTGGGCATGACCCTCCCAGAAGAGAAAGAATATACAACATTTTGCATATTTATCGCAGTGGGCAAGACCCTCCCAGAATATACAACATTTTGCATATTTATCGCAGTGGGCAAGACCCTCCCAGAAGAGAAAAGAATATACAACATTTTGCATATTTAGCGCAGTGGGCATGACCTCCCAAGAGAAAGAATATACAACATTTTTGCATATTTATCGCATATTTACAACATTTTGCATATTTGGGCAAGACCCTCCCAGAAGAGAAAGATATACAACATTTTGCATATTTAGCGCAGTGGGCAAGACCCTCCCAGAAGAGAAAGAATATACAATATTTTGCTTATTTAGCGCAGTGGGCATGACCCTCCCAGAAGAGAAAAGAATATACAACATTTTGCATATTTTTAGCGCAGTGGGCAAGACCCGCAGTGGGCCCCTCCCAGAAGAAAAAGAATATACAACATTTTGCATATTTATCGCAGTGGGCAAGACCCTCCCAGAAGAACGAATATACACAAGCATATTTATGGCACCTCCCAGGGCAGTGGGCAAGACTCCCCAGAAGAAAAGAATATACAACATTTTGCATATTTAGCGCAGTGGGCAAGACCCTCACAGAAAAGAACGAATATACAACATTTTGCATATTTATCGCAGTGGGCAAGACCCTCCCAGAAGAGAAAGAATATACAATATTTTGCATATTTAGCGCAGTGGGCAAGACCCTCCCAGAAGAGAAAGAATATACAACATTTTGCATATTTAGCGCAGTGGGCATGACCCTCCAGAAGAGAAAGAATATATAATATTTTGCATATTTATCGCAGTGGGCTTGACCCTCCCAGAAGAGAAAGAATATACAACATTTTGCATATTTAGCGCAGTGGGCAAGACCCTCACATAAAAGAACGAATATACAACATTTTGCATATTTATCGCACTGGGCAAGACCCTCCCAGAAGAGAAAAGAATATACAACATTTTGCATATTTAGCGCAGTGGGCAAGACCCTCCCAGAAGAAAAAGAATATACAACATTTTTGCATATTTAGCGCAGTGGGCAAGACCCTCCCAGAAGAGAAAGAATATATAATATTTTGCTTATTTTGCATATTTCCCAGAAGAGAAAAAAGAATATACAACATTTTGCATATTTAGCGCAGTGGGCAAGACCCTCACAGAAAAGAACGAATATACAATATTTTGCATATTTATCGCAGTGGGCAAGACCCTCCCAGAAGAGAAAAATAATATACAACATTTGCATATTTAGCGCAGTGGGCATGACCCTCCCAGAAGAAAAAGAATATACAACATTTTGCATATTTATCGCAGTGGGCAAGACCCTCCCAGAAGAGAAAGAATATACAACATTTTGCATATTTATCGCAGTGGGCAAGACCCTCCCAGAAGAGAAAGAATACAACATTTTGCATATTTATCGCAGTGGGCAACCCTCCCATTATACAACATTTGCATATTTATCGCAGTGGGCAAGACCCTCCCAGAAGAGAAAGAATATACAACATTTTGCATATTTAGCGCAGTGGGCAAGACCCTCCCAGAAGAGAAAGAATATACAACATTTTGCATATTTAGCGCAGTGGGCAAACCCTCCCAGAAGAGAAAGAATATACAACATTTTGCATATTTATCGCAGTGGGCAAGACCCTCCCACAAGAGAAAGAATATACAACATTTTGCATATTTAGCGCAGTGGGCAAGACCCTCCCAGAAGAGAAAGAATATACAACATTTTGCATATTTAGCGCAGTGGGCATGACCCTCCCAGAAGAGAAAGAATATGCAATATTTTATTTATTTAGCGCAGTGAGCAAGACCCTACCAGAAGAGAAAGAATATACAACATTTTGCATATTTATCGCAGTGGGCAAGACCCTCCCAGAAGAGAAAGAATATACAACATTTTGTATATTTAAGGCAGTGGGCATGACCCTCCCAGAAGAGAAAGAATATACAACATTTTGCTTATTTGGCGCAGTGGGCAAGACCCTCCCAGAAGAGAAAGAATATACAACATTTTGCATATTTAGCGCAGTGTGCCAGACCCTCACAGAAAAGAACGAATATACAACATTTTGCATATTTATCGCAGTGGGCAAGACCCTCCCAGATGAGAAAGAATATACAACATTTTGCATATTTATCGCAGTGGGCATGACCCTCCCAGAAGAGAAAGAATATACAACATTTTGCATATTTATCGCAGTGTGCATGACCCTCCCAGAAGCGAAAGAATTTACAACATTTTGCATATTTAGCGCAGTGGGCAAGACACTCCCAGAAGAGAAAGAATTTACAACATTTTGCATATTTATCGCAGTGGGCAAGACCTCCCAGAAGAGAAAGAATATACAACATTTTGCATATTTAGCGCAGTGGGCAAGACCCTCCCAGAAGAGAAAGAATATACAACATTTTGCATATTTATCGCAGTGGGCATGACCCTCCCAGAAGAGAAAGAATATACAACATTTTGCATATTTAGCGCAGTGTGCCAGACCCTCACAGAAAAGAACGAATATACAACATTTTGCATATTTATCGCAGTGGGCAAGACCCTCCCAGATGAGAAAGAATATACAACATTTTGCATATTTAGCGCAGTGGGCAAGACCCTCCCAGAAGCGACAGAATTTACAACATTTTGCATATTTAGCGCAGTGGGCAAGACACTCCCAGAAGAGAAAGAATATACAACATTTTGCATATTTATCGCAGTGGGAAAGACCCTCCCAGAAGAGAAAGAATATACAACATTTTGCATATTTAGCGCAGTGGGCATGACCCTCCCAGAAGAGAAAGAATATACAATATTTTGCTTATTTAGCGCAGTGGGCTAGACCCTCCCAGAAGAGAAAGAATATACAACATTTTGCATATTTAGCGCAGTGGGCAAGACCCTCCCAGAAGAGAAAGAATATACAACATTTTGCATATTTATCGCAGTGGGCAAGACCCTCCCAGAAGAGAAAGAATATACGATATTTTGCATATTTAGCGCAGTGGGCATGACCCTCCCAGAAGAGAAAGAATATACAACATTTTGCTTATTTGGCGCAGTGGGCAAGACCCTCCCAGAAGAGAATGAATATACAATATTTTGCATATTTATCGCAGTGGGCAAGACCCTCCCAGAAGAGAAAGAATATACAACATTTTGCATATTTATCGCAGTGGGCATGACCCTCCCAGAAGAGAAAGAATATACAACATTTTGCATATTTATCGCAGTGTGCATGACCCTCCCAGAAGAGAAAGAATATACAAAATTTTGCATATTTATCGCAGTGGGCATGACCTCCCAGAAGAGGAAGAATATACAACATTTTTGCATATTTATCGCAGTGGGCATGACCTCCCAGAAGAGAAAGAATATACAACATTTTGCATATTTATCGCAGTGGGCATGACCCTCCCCGAAGAGAAAGAATATACAACATTTTGCATATTTATCGCAGTGGGCATGACCCTCCCAGAAGAGAAAAGAATATACAACATTTTGCATATTTATCGCAGTGGGCATGACCCTCCCAGAAGAGAAAGAATATACAACATTTTGCATATTTATCGCAGTGGGCAAGACCCTCCCAGAAGAGAAAGAATATACTACATTTTGCATATTTATCGCAGTGGGCAAGACCCTCCCAGAAGAGAAAGAATATACAACATTTTGCATATTTATCGCAGTGGGCAAGACCCTCCCAGAAGAGAAAGAATATACAACATTTTGCATATTTAGCGCAGTGGGCATGACCCTCCCAGAAGAGAAAGAATATACAACATTTTGCATATTTATCGCAGTGGGCATGACCCTCCCAGAAGAGAAAGAATATACAACATTTTGCATATTTATCGCAGTGGGCATGACCCTCCCAGAAGAGAAAGAATATACAACATTTTGCATATTTATCGCAGTGGGCAAGACCCTCCCAGAAGAGAAAGTATATACAACATTTTGCATATTTAGCGCAGTGGGCATGACCCTTCCAGAAGAGAAAGAATATACAACATTTTGCATATTTATCGCAGTGGGCATGACCCTCCCAGAAGAGAAAGAATATACAACATTTTGCATATTTATCGCTGTGGGCATGACCTCCCAGAAGAGAAAGAATATACAACATTTTGCATATTTATCGCAGTGGGCAAGACCTCCCAGAAGAGAAAGAATATACTACATTTTGCATATTTATCGCAGTGGGCAAGACCCTCCTAGAAGAGAAAGAATATACAACATTTTGCATATTTATCGCAGTGGGCAAGACCCTCCCAGAAGAGAAAGAATATACAACATTTTGCATATTTAGCGCAGTGGGCATGACCCTCCCAGAAGAGAAAGAATATACAACATTTTGCATATTTTAGCGCAGTGGGCATGACCCTCCCAGAAGAGAAAGAATATACAACATTTTGCATATTTATCGCAGTGGGCATGACCCTCCCAGAAGAGAAAGAATATACAACATTTTGCATATTTATCGCAGTCGGCATGACCCTCCCAGAAGAGAAAGAATATACAACATTTTGCATATTTATCGCAGTGGGCAAGACCCTCCCAGAAGAGAAAGAATATACAACATTTTGCATATTTATCGCCGTGGGCAAGACCCTCCCAGAAGAGAAAGAATATACAACATTTTGCATATTTATCGCAGTGGGCTAGACCCTCCCAGAAGAGAAAGAATATACAACATTTTGCATATTTAGCGCATTGTGCATGACCCTCCCAGAAGAGAAAGAATATACAACATTTTGCATATTTATCGCAGTTGGCATGACCCTCCCAGAAGAGAAAGAATATACATTTTGCATATTTATCGCAGTGGGCATGACCCTCCCAGAAGAGAAAGTATATACAAGATTTTGCATATTTATCGCAGTGGGCAAGACCCTCCCAGAAGAGAAAGAATATACAACATTTTGCATATTTATCGCAGTGGGCATGACCCTCCCAGAAGAGAAAGAATATACATTTTGCATATTTATCGCAGTGGGCATGACCCTCCCAGAAGAGAAAGTATATACAAGATTTTGCATATTTATCGCAGTGGGCAAGACCCTCCCAGAAGAGAAAGAATATACAACATTTTGCATATTTATCGCAGTGGGCATGACCCTCCCAGAAGAGAAAGAATATACAACATTTTGCATATTTAGCGCAGTGGGCATGACCCTCCCAGAAGAGAAAGAATATACAATATTTTGCTTATTTAGCGCAGTGGGCAAGACCCTCCCTGAAGAGAAAGAATATACAACATTTTGCATATTTAGCGCAGTGGGCATGACCCTCCCAGAAGAGAAAGAATATACAATATTTTGCTTATTTAGCGCAGTGGGCAAGACCCTCCCAGATGAGAAAGAATATACAATATTTTGCTTATTTTGGCGCGGTGGCCAAGACCTCCCTAGAAGAGAGAGAATATACATTTTGCTTATTTGGCGCAGTGGTCAAGACCTCACCAGAAGAAAGAGGTATACAACAATTAATATCAGCAAAAGAAATTTGAAATTTGTAGAAAATGAGAAAAGACGGCTTGGAGAATTTGATACACACAGAGCAGATTGAAGGCAAGAGGGATATAGGACAACAGCGCATAACGTACGAACTTTTCTGTTAAATAGGTTTTAAGATAGATAAATAAAGATAATATTTATTGAGCAACAATTGAGGAGAACGATCATCGTCAACTCCCCTGATGGGACCCGGCACATAGATGAAGTAGTATAAACTGTTGAAAGGCATTGTCCTTAACATCGTGAAAAGAGACCGTCAGTTATGAATTCACAGGTTTGCAGCATGCAACGGAAACCATTTCATTGCCTTTCCCAAGGAATCTGACAGGATCCATAGTCGCCTACACTCTGAAAAGTAAGAAACAGCTCTTAATTCAAAGTTGTCGAGCAGCTAACGCGGAAACCACTGCACAATATTTGGAGAGCCTTAATTGCTTAAAACGTGAAGAGAGAAAAATAGCAATCAATTCAAATCTGTCGAGGGACCAACGGGAACCGACTCCACTATACTTCCCAAGAAGATATTACAATTAACAGATAACAGACAAAAGAATTTACGCAGAATTATGATCACTTATGTACTATGCATTATATCTGATCCATAAACTTAGGTGTTAAGTCTTCACTATTTACTAATTCCAAATCCCAAATGTCTATGTTGGATTAAGTTTTGGTGCCATCACTGCTTTCATTCCATTTCCGTTTTGGATACGTATATCTTGAGCCCAATTTCATAGAACACTTTACAGAGGATGCCGATTTTCTCTTCAATATTATTCTTATCAGAGCTTAGAATATTTAGTTATTAGCGTATCCCCCCCCACCTCAACACGACTGCATTGACCTCATTAACTAGGGAATTACTGCGTCGTTCGAAATATCCAAAATATTTTAAAAATTTAGTTTAGTGTGGTAAAAGGTCACAATAATTTAGCACCCATTTTAATTTAAAACACAGAGATCGAATGAATTGAATTGAATTGTTTTGAGGGATAAGCTTATCATCCACTGCAGAACGTTGGATATTCTTAACCTCATTAAAAATTCATGTATGTACGTTTCAGAAAAAACACAATTTCTAATTTCGGAATGATCAATTTTTAAAAAAAAATCTCTTCAAGAAATCTAAAATGAATAACTGACAAATCGACTACGAGTAATCACACAGTTAAAACTAGCCAGTTGAAGAAGCGATCATTAAAGATCTAAATAAAAGACCTATTCACACTCATGTATAAGCCTGTTTGGTTAAGATCCACTCAGCAGAGCTGCAGTAGAAACCACAGATCGGCTCTTTGGCTTTTGGAGAAACACAAATATACCGGAGCTGGATTCTCTAGCCGCCCGAGCAGACGGCGGCATGGAAACAAAGAGCGGGTCATTATCATCATGCCATATCAGAGATCATTCCTTGCTTCTGAAACCATGTAACCAAATATAGTCTATCGGATAATACGGAAGAAATAAAATTTAAAAAAGAAGTCAATAAGAAATTTGTGACGTATGGTTTTTCGATTCCACGATATTTTATTTATTTTTTATTTTTTAGAATTATTGCTTTTTTCTACATGTATTTCAAGTTGAAAATTCTGAGACACATGAAAAATTTCATACGTCATGCGACCACCTGTTGAATTCACACTGGGATATATTTACGGAATTAAATATAATGTGACATTCAGAACTCGGTTGAGAAAAGTATAAATCTAGTTTTCCTGGAAGCAATGGTTAAAGAACTTTAAAATATTTGAACGTCAAATTGGTCGATTATTTAGAACGTTAGAACTTTGTATTTGAATCTTGACGTAGATGTCTTTTTCTTTTACTATTGTTCACCCAATGATAGGCTTAAGAGCCAATCAAGGTAGAGGAACATTAAATAAGGCTGTTCTAAGTGCACGCACGAAGAGATAAATATGAAGATAAATAGGAGAAATATAGTCTGGTATGTCGTAATATCTACAAACAAGCCAAAACATTCGTTCCTTCCAATCATCTCTGTCAGACATCGTTGTCGACAGGTCCTCCAGATGGCATCCAGTCATCTACAAGTTGGTCAATGCAGGTGTGATGGGTTATTACAACTGATCTTTTGGATTCCATGGCAGAGGGTAAATCACAAGACATTCTTTTACAGGTGTGACCAGCTAGCCGAAGCCTTCTCGCTTATAGCAAAACTGAGATAAGAGGAAGATGTTCATACAGGCGTTTCTTTTTTGGGGATTTCTTCCAGCTGATATTCAATGCAATTCGTAACATCCTTGTGTATGTTCCGTCATGTGATGATTCTTGGTGCTTCGTCAGTATGTGAGCTGTAGAGCAAGAC